AAAAAAATACCAAAAAATACTGTATTTTTTCCCTATAAATACCTATCAATTTTACTCACTTTCCACACCAAATATTCATACACACTCTTCTCCTTCAAATATTTTTTACATTTCACTCCCATTTTTCTACTAGTTTCCATTTGTATCAAAAAACAAATGGCCTCTTATAGGGTGAAAATCTCATCTGAAATATGAGATTATAAATTTTTTTTTGCAAATGATGGGTCCCACCAAACTGGGCAAGCCCACGGGGAGATCTTGCCTGGGCAGTAGCCCAAAGGCGCTGACGTTAGGCGTGACGTCACGCTGACGTCAGCGCCTGACAGGGCCCAACGGAAAAATGCCACATGGCGCTTCCTGGGCGCTGCGATGGCTTTTTTCACAGAAATCTGACGGTCCTCTTTTTTTTTGGCCAAAAAAATTCCAAAAAAAGTCAAAATTTTTTTTTAAAAATACCAAAAAATACTGTATTTTTTCCCTATAAATACCTATCAATTTTACTCACTTTCCACACCAAATATTCATACACACTCTTCTCCTTCAAATATTTTTTACATTTCACTCACATTTTTCTACTAGTTTCCATTTGTATCAAAAAACAAATGGCCTCTTATAGGGTGAAAATCTCATCTGAAATATGAGATTATAAATTTTTTTAAAAAAATCTTAAAATCTTATCTGACATGGACATGTGGCAACCAAATATCTTATCCGAAAATTTTATCCGAAAATGTTATCTGAAATTTGAGGTGATAATTTTATAATAAATAGTGACACGTGGCAACCGAAAATATTATCTTAAAAGCTTATCAAAATTAATGGTAAGTATAAAAAAATAGAAAATAAAGTACAATGAATAGTATTTGCCCGGGCAAGCCTTCCAAGGGTGGAACCAACTAAGGCAAGGCTGACACCATTCATGTGAATAGTACCAGCCCTTGCCTTGCCTTAGCCTTGCCTTAGCCTACATGGGTGGAGATGCTCTAAGAGCATTTCCAGCAGTTGCCCCTTGCCCCTTACAAAAAGTAATGTTGGTTTCCAACAGTTGCCCTAGTTTAGGGCAAACACTATTCATTTTTTTATTTTTTTCACAAATTTGTTTACTTAAATAATTAATTTGGACAATATTTTCGGATAAGATTTTTGGGTTCCTACGTGTCAATACTATTCATATCTCATAATCGGATAAAATTTTCGGTTTCAAATTTTAGATAAATTCAAATTTCAATGAAATTTCATCTGAATTTCATATTTCAGATATATTTCATCTGAATTTCAAATTTCATATAAATTTCATCTGAATTTCAAATTTCAGATAAGATTTTCACCCTATAAAATTGCATCACGTGTCATCCTTATCGGTCAAAATTTTTCTATAAAACCAGAGCCTCAACTCATACCTTTCACAACATATCTTCTCTTTATTTTCATTTCTCATTTTTAGAATTCATACTCCAATGGCAAACATGAACGAGGTCTTGGAGAGGCAAATGCCAGAATTTAGAGAAAGAAGGCGTAGACGAGCTGCAGGCAAAATGGCGCAGGCAGAACTGGATATGCAAATTGTCACAGCAGTGGCTATGCATGATGAAGAAAACCAGAGCTGCCGTGGTTCACGAGAAGGTCGTGGCCCGAATGTGGACAGACATAGACATTCTTGAGGTAAGAATCTTCTGGAAGATTATTTTATCCCAACTTCTCTGTACTATGATGTTGATTTTCG